GGTCTTCATGGTAGCTGCTTGCTCCCAATGTGTGGTTAATAATTATTTGAGGTAGAGTATTAATTTGTAATAGTTCGGAGATTTTTAAACTAATTGGAAATATTGCATTTGTTTAATCTTCTGCAATTGTTCCGGCTGGAAAAGCGTCCAGGCCTAATGGTCATGGCGCCCTGGCTAGAAATCCTATAGGTGTGTAAATGGGTGGAGGCGAATTTAAAACGGGGAGTAACCATGTGATGGACTAGCATCCCATCCAGGGGGAAGGGAAAGTAGAAATGTTTCGTCACTTAGGCTGTATGGGCTACTGGCCTGACGCAGACTTTTTTTAATTCTAATGCGTGCATCTCCATGAACAGTGCCGGTGAGTGTTTTTTTTTTCGGGACCCTCAGTGACAATTTTCGTATTAAATTCTTTAATTAAGTTCTGAATTTATCATTAATTTTTAATCATCAATGTTCTTATTTATTTATTCATTTACTTTTATTTATTTATTTTTTAATTTGTTATGTTTCGGTCATTCCGGGAATTCCGGGTATTCCGAGTATTCCGGTTCCGGTTCCGAATTCTGGCATTCCTTATTTTCCGAACTACCTATCAGTACTTCAAACCGCACGTCATCAATGATTGCTCATGTTTCTCTTTTCGTAACAGCCTCTTGACATAGTTAAGTCAACTTAGTCCAACATGAACTTTGATATGTGACTTCAAAAAAAGAATGTTTGATTAGCGTCGATAGAGAGGGTGCGGTCTTTACTGCTTTATTGCCCAGTTATAGTTAATCTGTTCATTGTTGTAGAATTTACAGTGAAAATATCAAGAGGTATTAGATTGAAAATGAACAAAAGGCAAATGCTATTTATGTCTCCTTCCTTTGGTATAGTGTTAATTTGTCACAAACTAAAGGGAGACAGGCTCATACATGTAGCATCCGAAATTGATTGGGCAATAATCACAAGACTATCTGCCGACTTTCAAAACAACAGAATATTCTTCGAGTAAGATTTACCAGTTTTGATTGAAAACTATTAGGTCATGAGCGATCAATATGACGCGTGGCATTTTTCGCGCATTTGTCTTGTTTGTCTTTATCTTGCGTGGCCAAAATTTATCTCGAAACAAACTGGTCATGGTTTCTATTCATTACAGTCCTATTACAAACAAAGCTCAACTGTTGACTTTGAAATCGACCAAAATATCGATGTTGGTATAATTTTATACTTTTATACATTTCCGAAAAAAGATGGAGACAAATATTTCTTTGATTACATTATGTCCATTTTTTATCTACATTAACATCACATATAGGGAGAAAATTTATTTTAGCGTACGTAACGAACGTTTTGATGGTAATGTTATGTCTCGCAACCAAAATACTAAGGCTGTGTTGTGTATTTATCAATGCCCACAAAGGGATGATATTAGTTAACATACTTATACCCAAGAAAATAAATTCCCTTGATTTATTATTCCGACTCCCGAGGTTTAAGTTAAGCCCGCGAACTCAAGCTCTATTGTTTGATTTTTCCGAATCGCTAACTGTTGAATAATTTTGAAGTCATTAAGCAGTTAAGTCACTGTTCCAATTTAAGGAGCCACTTGTTACAGATTTGATAAGGCTGTCAAATTTGAAAGCTAACACACGTTTGGGTTTTTGTGCTTCCCTCGACTAACAAATCACAAGACGGCCTGATACGCCTCTCTTGCTTATGAAGAATCTCTAGCGTTCGGCTTAAGGACGAGTAATTACAGCTGCAGTCATTCAACGGAACAGAAGAAGGCAAGTTGCCCACGCCATCAAATATGACTTAAAAATTGAATAAATTAAAGGCCAATTTTTGAGCGTTTTTTTCTTTTTGTTATATATGGTCCAAAACCACCCGCTGTTTGGTTACTTTTAAAGCAATTAGATTTAGTTACCAGAAGAACCAGCGTAATAACATATTTAAGTCAACTGAGTGAAACATTTGATATGAGACCATCAAGTGTACTCTGCTGGAGAGAAGATTGAGGATGTAGAAACAATCCTGAACGACGTGGGAACCCGTACCTCTGAATGGTATCAACAAAACCTACTTAAGTGTAACCAAGATAAATTTCAAGGTATGAGTCTAGGACCAAGACACAAGAAAAAGAGAATGAACCTAAATATAAAGGACATTAACATAAAATCAAGTTCCGGGATTGATCTTTTGGGAGTGTCAATTGATGATGATTTGAACTTTACTAAGCATATCAATAATGTCTGTACTAAGGGGGCAATGAAAGTAGGAGTACTTATGAGGTTTAGGAATTTAATGCCTACTGAAGCTAAATTAAGAATTTTTAAAGCTTTTATTTTACCCCAAGTTACATATTGTCATATAGTATGGCACCATTGTCGCTCGTCAGACGAGAGAAAGCTTGAAAGGCTGCAGGAGCGTGCAATGAGGGCTATTTACTGTGACAGGGCTAGCACTTATGAAGCACTTCTAGATAAAGCAAGACTTCCAACGTTATGTAATCGCAGACTCCAGGACATGGCTATATTTATGTATAAAGTTAAGACTAATTTAGTCCCACCATATATTTCTGAACTTTTTAGTTGCGGCATAAGTAGGTACAATCTTAGGAATGCAGACGATTTCTCCTTACCAAGATACAACACGGTTACATACGGAAGACATAGCTTAAGGTACATGGGACCTTATATTTGGTCGAAGCTCCACAAATCCATCAAAATGGCTGACTCTCTAACTGCATTTAAAAAACCAAGTCAGAATCCTTGACCTATCAAATGTT